CCCCCTGACCCCCAGGCCAGGGCCGGGAGCTGTGCTCAGGGAGTCCAAACCCAAGGAAAACATGTCTCGGGAGACAGCGCCTTTGAGAAGCTTCAGTAATGAGTTCCAAAGCCAGAGAAGAGTTAGGCTCACTTTCTGTTCAGGTTGTCAGCTCACGGCTCTCCTCCAGAGGACAGAGCGTGCGTCAGTGAAAACCCTGCCCTGACCTGTGGTGACCGCTGTGCACAGCTGCACAGAACCACGGAACGGGAGGGCTCCGGAGGTGCTGTCCTTTCGGTCACACTCAGCTAGGCCTCCTCACCGTACAACCGCCCGCCCCTCCTGCCTGCTCAGCCGGGAGACACTGTGCCCCCGACAGGCACAGGCGGAAGCGCAGCAAGGGAGTCGGTCACAACTACTGCCGGTACTGTGTACAGTGCCCACGGGGCCTGGAAATATCAGGGGGAACACGCTGCAGAGCATTCGACTGTCTAACCACGACGCTGTACACCCGATATTAATACAAAATGCAACTGAATGTAAACTGTAATTAAAAATTACTTTAAATTTTAAAAAAAGAGAAAGGAATATTTGCTCTAAGGTCAGTGTGGCTTCCAGAAATTTCTACCAAGTGGAAGTTTCCCAGATAGAGAGCCCCTCAGGAAGGCTCCCGTGTACACAGAAGCAGGGTCCTCGTGATGAACTATTTCAAAGGGAGCCAGCAAGGCGCTGCCCACAGATCTCACGCCGTCAAGACTGCTGAAACTGGACTGATCTCAACTGAAAATAAAACGAGAGCTAGCCTTTACTGAGCGGCTACGGAGTGCAGGCCGAGGCAGGCTCTGGGGCATCTAGTCTTCACACAACCTGATGGAAGGCACAGTCCACTGAGCTCAGGGAGGGGCAGGAGGAGAGGAGGGGCCTGGGGGGGCGGGCAGGGACGCAGCCCCCGCCTGCTCTTCTTGGCACAGCCTCTCCAGGAGAGCTGAGCCCCGCTGTTGGGCTCCGTTCCCAGTTGGGTGGAAGAGGAGGATGCTCTGGGGTCTGTTCCGTGGGCTGCTCCCTGGCAGGGGACCCAGGGGCGGGTGTAAGGATGGGCCCTGGGTCAGTGGATCCGGCGTTGGCTAATGAGAGACGGTCCCCACCCTCCGGACAGTCAGGGGCTGGTTTTCCTAACTTCTCTAAATAAAGCATGACCGTTCTTCATACACTGTTATCTCTGATAAAAAATAAGCCTCTACCACTTTGGATGTTCCGTCCAGAGGGTAAGATTTCATTAAACTGCCAAGTACGTGAACTATATTAACATCCCTCTATTGCACTTCTCCCATCCTGGGACGGTGACAGAGACTGCTACCACCTCCTCAGCAGGCATTCTCCCACTTTCCTTTTATTCTCTCAGGTAAAGAGGCCCAGCTAAGGGACTACATTTCCCAGTCTCCTTTGCAACCAGGGTAACCCATGAGATTTAGGTGGGAATTATTGGGTAAGGTTTCCAGGAAAACTCCATTCATGGGACTGAAGGAACTAGAAGGTACCCTCTTTCCACTCTCCCTGTCCTTCCTGCCTGGAGCACAGGTGTGATGGCTGGAGAGCCAGCAGCTATGCTGGCCTGAGAAGAGACCCTGAGAGTAAAACCAGCACTAAAGCCGTAGAGATGAAAGAAGACAGGGACCCGGGACTCCCCTGTGCCAGCCCAGGGCTGCCTTTTCTTACAAAAATCAACCTCTAGCTTGTTTATACATAGACAGTCAGACCTCGTTTCTCAAACGTCTCCCATCTCCAACACTTCAGTTCTCGATCAACTTGTTCACAGACAAAAAATATCTCGGTTGTCGACCAAAATTTCAGTTTTCGACCTGACAACCCTTTCATGCTGATACCTCCGCATGACAACACGCAAAGGAGAGAATGCTTTTGTGGCTGGCCGATTAGCACAATTTTAAAACATAAAGAGGCCATCAAGAGTGCTAATGTTGCCCGGCCAGCGTGGCTCAGTGGTTGAGCTTTGACCTATGAACCAGAAGGTCACAGCTCAATTCCAGTCAAGGCACATGCCCGGGTTGTGGGCTCGATCCCTAGTGTGGAGTGTGCAGGAGGCAGCCGATCAATGATTCTCTC